ATGTGAAGGCAACGTATGATGTGTGTAGAAGCGCAGTATGGAAGCGCTCATGGGTGAAGTTTTGCTCCGACTCGCTCTGGCTCCTATTGATATTGAAAAGTAAACTCTAGTTCAGTGTGTCACGCTCTCTTGTCTGTGATCCTGGTGTTAAATCCAGATATGGGACATTAGCATTGACAGAGAGAGAGAGAGAGAGAGAGAGAGACCAGAGCGAGAAGCAGACGAGACCAGAGAGACCAGAGAGGAAGAGAGACCAGAGAGAGACCAGAGCGAGAAGCAGATGAGACCAGAGAGACCAGAAAGAGACTAGATAGAGACCAGAGAGAGACCAGAGCGAGAAGCAGACGAGACCAGAGAGACAAGAGAGAGACCAGAGAGAAACCAGAGAGAGATCAGACAGAGATCAGAGAGAGACCATAAATAGAGACCAGAGAGAGATCGGACAGAGACCAGAGAGAGACCAGAGCGAGAAGCAGACGAGACCAGAGAGACAAGAGAGAGACCAGAGAGAAACCAGAGAGAGATCATACAGAGACCAGAGAGAGACCCTAAAGAGAGACCAGAGAGAGATCATACAGAGACCAGAGAGAGACCCTAAAGAGAGACCAGAGAGAGATCATACAGAGACCAGAGAGAGACCCTAAAGAGAGACCAGAGAGAGAGTAGAAAGAGACCAGAGAATATTTACTCATTAGTACTGACCAATCAGATGCTTTCAATTGCAGGAGAAGGCCCAGCTTGCCTTAGCAACCAACATAGCAACACGTCTGCCTCTGTAAGGAATTTGTCTCCAGCTAGCTTATGATCCAACTGGCTTTTTCTGCGGTCTGCGATTTGTTCTCCCTGTGTCTGCGTAGGTTTCCTCCAGGTGCTCCGGTTTCAAAGCATATATATTTTCTTACATCTTTTGAGTGTGTGAGTGTTTTGACCATGCCAGCCAATTAAACTTGAATCCATAATCTTGATTCTGGGTGTGATTCCTAACACACAATAGCAGCTTAAAGAAACCCAGTTGTGACACAGTATGAAGCGATCCTGTGATGTTACATAACTCATTAGGGTGTGATTAGATTGTGTGTGAAGTGGGCCTGGCTTGTGTTAGCGCAGCACCACTTCACAAAACCCACACAAGACGCACAAGAAGTGACAAACGCCTGCACCATAAACATATACAGAACATATTAAATTAGCTTCAGGCCCCAGAGAGAGAACAGAGGGACACCAGAGAAGCAGAGAGAGACCAGAGAGAGACTAGAGAGAGACCAGAGAGAGACTAGAGAGAGAGAGTAATCAGAGGAGCAGAGAGAGACTAGAGAGAGAGAGTAATCAGAGGAGCAGAGAGAGACCAGAGAGACCAGAGAGAAACTAGAAAGAGGGACCAGAGAGGCCAGAGAGAGACCAGAGAGAGACCCGAGAGAGACCCGAGAGAGACCAGAGAGAGGCCAGAGAGAGGCCAGAGAGAGGCCAGAGAGAGACCAGAGAGAGACCAGAGAGACCAGAGAGAAACTAGAAAGAGGGACCAGAGAGGCCAGAGAGAGACCAGAGAGAGACCAGAGAGACCAGAGAGAAACTAGAAAGAGGGACCAGAGAGGCCAGAGAGAGAGAGAGAGAGATCAGTGAAGGAGACCAGAGAGAGAGACAAGAGAGAGACCAGAGAAGTAGACCCGAGAAAGAGTCTAGAGAGACCAGAAAAGTAAACCAGAAAGAGAAACCAGAGAGAGACTAGAGATAGAGACCAGAGAGATATCAGAGATAGAACAGAGAGAGACATAGAAAGAGACCAGAGAGAGACCAACGAGAGACTAGAAAGAGACCAGAGAGAGGGACTAAAGAAAGACCATAGAGACCAGAGTGAGAAAGACCAGTGAAGGAGACCAGAGAGAAAGACAAGAGAGAGAGAGACTAGAGAGAGACCCGAGAGGTAGACCAGAAAGAGAGACTAGAGAGAGGCCAGAGAGAGACTGGAAAGAGTCTCCATACAAAAACGTATGGGGGAAAAAATGCAAGCTCTGTGCCTTTTAAATTGCCACTCTTATGAAGCGAGATGTTGCTCGAATAGAAAAACGCCAATACAGCTTAAAAACATTTCTCAAAACCACTAAAACCAAAATTATGTTAATTCGCAACTTTCCTCAATACATGTACATTATGATTAAGGCGTTGAAACCCAGAGTGGAGCAGTGAGTGTGCAATATCCATAATAATTTAATTTATGTGTTATGGTCCTAAAGCTTTGGATTTGGATGTATTTGAGAACATTCTGGGGGGAAATTAGGTTAAATATAAATGCATAAAGTTAGAGAAAGCGACAAATAAGACTTTGACAAACATCTTTCTAATCACCACAAAATACATAATGTGATTTTCGGGAATGAAATGTGGAACTCTGACAATAACCGATCATTATTTTCAATTACATTCGCTCCCACTAGTATTATCATTATTTTCGCAAAAGGGACTTGGTGTATTAACCAACACACACACACACACACACACACACACATACACACACACAGAGACAGAGACACACACACATTAACAGAGTCTCGTTATTAAGACGGGTTTTAAAAAAAAAATCTTTTTAATGCACTGTTGTCATTTATTATTTTAATCCCTTGTGTGATTTCATGTTTTTAATTACCTGTGTGATTTTAAAGATGCAGTCAAAGATTTAACCAGCCACAATTTTTAATCTACTGTGGACAAACGTCCCTAACCCATATGTTTTCAAAGTTGTTTTTTGAATTGGTGCTATACTGCGATAAGCTATCCTGAATCATTTACTGCACCTTTAATTCTGTTTTTATTGGTATTTTTGTGTGTTTGATATATGTATTGATTTGTGCTCTGTGTGGCGTGGACTGCGAAGCGCTTTGTGTTGTCCTGTGTAGGAAAAGCGCTCTATAAATACAGATTGATTGATAACAAAACATGGAAATTGAAGGCTCCAGGAGAGTGGAAATAAGACAGAATCCTTAAAAAACGTCACAAAACCTAGAAAATGACACAAAACTCCCACTGTACAATGATGCATATGTACAAATATTCAGTCATGGAGGAAGGAGAAAAATCTTTCTGACAGCCAAAAATAAAGGATCCCAGACTTTTTTGCAGCCGTCTCAGAACAGTGTCTCATAAACCAAACTGCCTCTTCAGGTCTTAGAGGCTCATTTTATTCAAACAACAATCGCATCCAAAATGGTTTTCACGCTAAAAAAGTCTGAATGGAAAAAGTACATTTGCAGTGAGTGGTGTCGTTCTTCTCTTTTCCATGTTGAGCCACGCAGGAATTTAAAACCGGCGACAAAATCAATCACCAGCAGCAGATCCGTAGATATGACAGAATTCTGGCTTTCGCAGGAAAACGGCAAAACAGATCAATTTCTGTGGCCACACTAGGAATGCTGAGAAAGTACACTGAGAAAACGGGTAGGATCTAATTCATTTTAGCATTTCAATTATGTATTGATTTCAAGTATATAAAAAGGATATATTTTATTTATTTTATTTATTTTATTTATTTTATTTATTTTATTTATTTTATTTATTTTATTTATTTTACATATTTTGTAATATTATTATTATTAATTTTTATTTATTGTTTATCTGTTTTTATATGTTTTTTTTAGATCAATTTTTTATTCGTTTTTAGTTTAGTTACTATAATTTGGTTTAATTGGACCTATCCTTCACTGCCACTAGGGCCTCTGTCAGGTGTAGTTGCTACCCTGCACCTGGGATCCCTCTCCAAATGTTGATGCTCTTGGTCAGGGCCGTAGCACCCGGAGGAAACCTACACAGACACAAGCAAACATACAAACTCCACGCAGTAAGACCTTGTTCTGACCAGGAATCGAATCCAGAACCTCCTTGCCAAGAACTGCTAACCACTCAGCCACCCCGTTGCCCTATTGTTGGTGATCTGTCAATACGAGGAGAAATGAGAACGCTTTTTTGTCTATTCTTTGAGGATTTCAGACAAAACATTAGCAACTCCATGTGTGGCCTCTCAACCTTGACTCAACACAAGTACTCTAACTTTCCAACCAAATCTTTGGAAATGACTCCGAGGTCCTCTGAGGCAGTTTGTTCAAATACACACAAATTAGCGTTGAATCCGGCATGTCAGGCAGGTTGTAAAAATAAAGGTTAAAGTGACCTTTTGTTGGTCTCCCTCATTATATTACGAGCAAATAAAAGTTTATGTCTGTACTTTAATCACCTATGCATGTTACTGTGGAATTGCCCTGGGATTTAATAGGTGCTTCTTGGGGAATGAACGAGGAAATTAATCTAAATTAATTTTTATATACATATATTGCCATTTGCTTTACTGTTAATTTTGTTATGCTGTTCAAAAAGGGTTGAAACTATGTACGTTTACAAAGAATGCAAATATTCAGGAAAAAACAGACCGTATTTGTTTATGTTTCAAAACTGGTTCGACCACGTTAAGGTCAAGTCTTCATTGGTTCTGCAGAGAAGCTGGAGCCTTGTAATGCTTTCAAAGAGATCCCGTAACTTTGTCTTTGCTAACTTTGGAACCGTAATTATAAATAGAGCTGCTGCCATATATGCCTGGGGTGTCAAACTCATTTTAGTCAAGTAAAGTTCCCCCTGCCAATCTCCAACAATGGTCTCTCTCCGGTGAGTTACTATTTGTTGCTTTAGGCTGAGAGTTGATAGGGTTGGATACTTTCAGAAGTAGTGGTTACAGAGAGACCAGAGAGAAACCAGAGAGAGACCAGAGAGAGACTGGAGAGATACCAGAAAGAGACCTAAGAGAGACCAGAGAGACCGGAGAGAGACCACAGAGAAACTAGAGAGACACCAGAGATAGACCAGAGAGAGACCAGAGAGAGACCAGAAAGAGACCAGAGGGAGCCCTGAAAGAGACAGGAGGGAGACCGGAGAGATACCAGAGTTTTAAACCCAAGTTAAAAACTGCGCCGAAAGGAGACTCAGGTTCATCCATTCATCGTCTCTGTTCTGTTTCGCAGGTCTCCATGGTGCCGCGGTACCCCTTCCCCACCGCCAACGTCCCGGACCACGCCCATTACATCATCGGCGTGGTCATACTGTTTGTGGGAATCACGGGAATCCTGGGGAATTTCCTTGTGATCTACGCTTTCTGCAGGTGAGTGTGACTCCTCTTCTCTGCTCTGTGGCTGCAAGATTAAACACAAAATTAAAATAACATGGTGTGATACCAATTAGCTAGTTCCAAAAGCTGCTATGATACTAATGCTTTGACAACAGCATCTAAAAAAATACATAATAAAAATATTGCAGAATTAAGAAAAACCCGGTAGAATACCTCCCTTTTCTTTTTCTTCTCGTGGTTTCAGGTATTTCCACACATTCTTACAGCTTCTATACAAATACTCCTCCGCCTGGACTTTCTACTGACCCAAACTAAATCACAAATCAAAAAAAAATATTATGACAAAAATCTATCATGAAATTTCACGTCATTTCAAATTCAATTAAAAATAAATCGTCAAAGGCCATTTTGACCTTGTGCCTGGAACACAGATAAAAGCAGGGATGTTGTGGCTTTCTTTGTTTTTACAATCTCTGTCCAAAATCGTATAAAGTCCATCATCAAATTCTTCCAAGCAAATTCAGAAGCAAGATAACCATGGAAGCAAGCAGAATTTTGTCTAAAATTGTCTAAACATTTTCATTACTGACCTCTGCCTTTTTTGACCATCACTTTATGCTACTGTCACTTTATGCTACTGTCACTTTGCTGCACTGCAAATTGTCTATTGTGAGTACTATTATTTGTTGCATTTGTATATAGAATATAGACATTTCAATCATACTTCTACCTATTTTTACTCTTTTAACTTGTTTGCTCCTCAAGCCAAAGCAAATTCCTAGCCTCTGACTCTACAGTCTATGTTCTGACTTCCTTTTACTTACAATGGCACCACAAAAATTCTGATTCTGATTTTATTTTGATTAGAAGTTCATTTAATTTCTCTTTTCAGGAGTCGAAGCTTGCGAACTCCTTCCAACATCTTCATCATAAACCTGGCCATCGCAGACCTCCTCATGTGTCTCACTCAGACGCCAATTTTCTTCGTCAACAGCATGCACAAGCGCTGGATCTTTGGACGGAAAGGTAAGAGCTGCAAACCGAGTGAAAATGTGAAAAAAATCCCATAATCCGAACCGATCATGAAGTTTTAAGCCTCATGGCAAAAAGACACGAGATTTTATTTGGTGATTTTGTTTTAAATTCTGCATTTTTTTTCACTAATGCAGGTTTGAAAAGGGGTTGGATGAAGCCATTTGTTTTTCATACAGAGAATGTATTATCTTGCATACAGCTGGAAGCCATGGTTACCAAGGAATTTCCCGGGAATATAAATTTTTTGTGGGTAGGTTAAAACAGGACCATGTAGGGCAGGTGGAGATTCAGAACACAATGGTACCAGCTTGGCATGGACAGAACCAGGGCCAAGAAGGACTAAAGAAGGATCTGATACCAGTCAAACAGGGGTTCTGTTTTTGTGGTCTTTCAATAATACAATTAACACATACTTTTCCCTTAAGGAGTTTTGTGGCTATATTTACAATCCGGATCCCATGGTTCCTCTTGATAATCATGACCTGGAGCCGTCACTCGCGGTTCCTTTTCCTGTAAATACTTTAACATTTGATCCTGGCTTCCATTGGTAATATATCGCACCATTACATTCTACCAAACTCAATCTTTTTTCCCCTTGAGGCTGAAAAATACACAACTCTCCATCAACAACTTAACCCTTTAAAGGAATAGTTCACCGTTTTTACATACTGACATATGTTCTTACCTTACCTTAGACTAGTTAATACGTACCTGTGTGATCTTAGTCCGTGCGCTCTGTCATGCAAACGGAGCAAAAACGGGAGGACAAATGCAGCCTCCCCTGTATACTGTGTAGCACCAAAAGGTAGCTCCCGCTAGAAGCTACCAAACTCTTCCAAGTGTTCCCTATTAAATGTATATAGTTACGTGACGTGTTACACTGCAAAGTATAGTAACACAGAAATGTAACTGTCGATTTTCTCAGCGTATAAAACGGGTACTATATTGTGAGGCGTAGTAATCTGAGGAGCGCTACGTCCGCGCACTAACTTCTCTCGTACTACAAGTCACGCTGCTTCTATTGACGGAAGTGAGCGAGAGAGAAGTCTCCGGAGAGAAGTTAGTGCGCGGACGTAGCGCACCTCAGATTACTACGCCTCACAATATAGTACCCGTTTTATCCGCTGAGAAAATCGACAGTTACATTTCTGTGTTACTATACTTTGCAGTGTAACACGTCACGTAACTATATACATTTAATAGGGAACACTTGGAAGAGTTTGGTAGCTTCTAGCGGGAGCTACCTTTTGGTGCTACACAGTATACAGGGGAGGCTGCATTTGTCCTCCCGTTTTTGCTCCGTTTGCATGACAGAGCGCACGGACTAAGATCACACAGGTACGTATTAACTAGTCTAAGGTAAGGTAAGAACATATGTCAGTATGTAAAAACGGTGAACTATTCCTTTAATGTCACTCCTTAAAGAAAGCAATGTAGTTTAACCCCTAGTCTTTTAATTATAGGCCTTTACCAAATGACTGAGATGCAGTTTGAAGGTAAAAGGGCCTAAAACCAAGTGATAGAGATAGAGGTAGATGTCCCATGACGTGATGAAGGAAGAACCCAAAATGCAAGACGCAAAAAAACAATGATTTAATGATAATTAAACAAAAGTCCAAGCTAAAACTGATCTAAAAAATCACGGACAAAGACAATGGACCAACAACACATGAGGATGAGCACAGGTACATATAGACAGAGACACAGGTAGCCTGTACATTTTAACGGACTTAGTCAGGCCTATCTCCGTCGTTGAAGCTAATGTGCCATCACTTTTGCCTTCTATGGGGCTTTTTGAAAATGGCCGCAGGAAACGTGAAAATTGCTTTTGCGCATGCGCTAGCCAGCACCAGCCCCATTCATCTAAAGAGTGCCTTCTGAAGTCTACAGCGGGCTCAGTTAGAGGCAAAGGAGATGGCTAAAGCTAGGCTAAATGCTAAATGCTTCTCTCACTCGGGCGCATTACATACGTCACGGCAAACTCAGATCTGATCGTTCCACTCTGCAAAAGGGGTTAATCCCTCCCACGTGATAACGGAGCGCAATGGTGCAATTCCAGACCTAAGTGTGCAATGAAATGAGTACGATGGTATGTTAAGATCAGGCTACAGTAACTTAAAGTGGTGCTTGAGGAATCCATCAAAGAGTTTACCCGGCTCTTATCCCTACTCGCTCACGTGCAATTTCTCCATTATCTATTGATGCATTGCACACACTGGGGTTTCAAATAAACATTGCACACGAGATTCCTTTAACCTGGTCATGCTTTACCACTATTTGAAACTTGCTTACACAGCTTTACCCAAACGGCGTCTATTGATCTGAGCCGAGAACAAGGCAGAAGTGAAAGTCGGAGTGCGGTGATACATACTAAAACTGGGAAATTTGCCTTCGGGGCCCTTTGCTCTGCGGTCGCGTGTGGAGAAGACGTCTCGCTCGGTTGATCAAACACTGATAGTAGAGCTGCTGGGAAAGGCGTCTTTGACCTTGAAGCGGCTTTTGTTAGATCTATGTAAAGCTGTGTTCCTTCAATGCTGTGATTTTCTATTCAATTAATGCTTGTGCGTAGTTTACGGTCGACATCAGCGCCTTTATTCACACATGGGAAGTAGGCTTTGCTATTCAAAAGGAGTTCTTAAAGCTGGGGGGACTAGCTTTAAAACCGGAATATAATCAAATCCTGGTTTAAATTTTTTGTGTGGCCTGTCACGTCTTTAGATCAGCGCTAATAGACAGAAAAGAGAAAAAAGCTCTCAGTCCAACGAGTCAAATAGTGACTCACAGGGCCTGTTTATTACAAGTGTGGAGAAGACAGACACAAGCGAACTCCGACAAGATAGAAACAGACTCATACAAGGCGTTAAAATAATCAAATATATTTAAACAAATAACTACAATAATCAATTGATGGATAACTGGACTATAGGGACGGACAGTGCAAATTAGCCTTGGCTCTAAATGTTGATCGTGTACACTTGTCCCTATGAAACAAATCAATTTATAAATTACTAGATTTGAACATTGTCAGAGAAGAAGCCTGTCTCACACTTTCAGGATGATTTGTTCAAGATTTTAGCAGCATAAATGTGCAACGCTGCCTCCCAATGTTTAGTCCCGGCAAAAGGCCAGTCCCTGTGCTCCTCAGAGTCACCAGCAGGGGGCCAGTCCCTGTGCTCTTCAGAGGCACAGTTGGTTCAAATGGCACTAACATTAATTGGAAGCCAGCGCAGAGACCTGAGAACTGGACTAATGTGATTGTAAAAAGACAGATCGGCAAGAATCCATTAAGAGCATTAGATTTGGTTGGCACGTGTTGGAATGTCTTTTCTGTGCTTTGATCAATTAGAAAACAATGAAATAAGTCAATTTTATGGAACAACCTCAATGAATAAAAGAAAAACATACAATAAAAGAGTCTGTTTTGCTTTTCTAGTTTCAGTTATTAAGCCAAAAATGCAAAATAGTGATGTGTTGGTGCAGCTAGCTAACGGTGGCCTCACGGTAACAGCTAAAGCGCATTAATTAGTTTGTGACCAAAACGTGAGAAAGTGAGTGATACATTTAAACGGCTCATTCCTTCTTTGACCATTTTGGGAGCCGTTGTTAATTCAGTGTCTGTTTATTTTCTCATCATCATTAAAACATTAAACAAGCGACTCGGGCTGCGCCGGTGGAGATAAACAAGATCAGTCTCGAGAGCTTTCTACTGCAACACCCCATGCTCTCTGTGTAATCTCAAAGAAACAAAAAGGCAATATTTATGCATATTTCTATTGAATACTCTTGAAATAGTCCATCGAACCAGTAGGCTGAGAGAGGAAGTGGAGTAAAAATACAAATAATGAAATTAATAATAATACATTGGTTGTACATAGCGCTTTTTTGGACAGTCAAAAGCTTCACACGTCATTTTTCCTTCACTCCAAACACGGTGGTGATAAAAGGCCGCAGCCGCCCCCACTGTGGCACCTGGTGTTCCCAAAGGTCTCCCATCACAGTAGGTCCTGTCCTGCATAGCTTCAGAGGTCTGCTGGGATCTGGCTTTCACATGCAGGTATGATTAATAGGTAAATATAATGAAAAGCACACAGCACTGGTCTTACCACACCATTGTACATATTTCATTGTGTACGATGCAGATATTCTTCCTCTAGTGGTTTGCCAAAGAATCTCTGAAAAAAAAAAAAAAAATAACCAGGAAAGTCCCATTGAGATTGAGAACCTCTTTTTTAAGGGAGACCTGGACCAAAGTTACATACAATTACAGATTATAAAAACAGTCACATACAATTTCATAAAATTACGAGTGAGAGTAAATGGCAGATGTAAGAGGGCAGCAGACCAAGCCTTAGAAGTGCAGTGTCCAAACCTTCTGCTGGACAAAGATCCCACTCCAGAATATCCTTCACAGTGAGTCAAGGCTTTGCAGTTTGTAGTGAATTGAACATGTTTTATTGAATCATTATTTAAGTACAGTTCTTAGTTTTTGTTCCTATATTTAAGCGCAGTCTTACCGTTGAAGCTGTGTAAAATGTTACAATGGCTGGAAACATTGGAATTAAATACACTTCTTTAGGAATAAAACCTCTGCCTTGCTTTTGATGAAGGGTAACTACGCTGCTGTGTAGTGTTGGTCATTTGTGGTGGTACTTGGAGAGGCAAGTATTTCCTGAAGTGTTACTTGGTGTAAAAAGTTTGAGAACCACTGATCTAGTGCAAGGTACTGTCACGTGGCAAAAACAGAACAAGGGCCCAATAGAGGACTGCCAAAAATATAAGATTTAATACATAAAAAAGTTATCAAAAAGTCCACAGCACAACAGGAACAGTGGAATAGTTTCACCATATTCTTTCATTTTTAACAGTGTTTAAAGATTCCCATCTGAAGCAGACTTTGATAAGAAATCTACATACAGTACATGCGGCCTGTAATCAGAGAGTCTTGGAGTTCACTGGGAATGTGACTAATTGCTTGTTAGTGCTAAATATTC